TCCTGCGGATGATGAACGCAGCGGTTCCTTGTAGCAGCAGGTCCCGGGGAGCGGAGGTCACCTGCTGACAAGCTTTTTTTTTTTTTCCCTTCTTTTCCTGCATGCTCCTATTTTTTTAATGCTGTGCATGCAGTACTTGTGCTGACGCACAGAGGCACGCCTCTCCGCTGTTACAGAGTTCCTGAATTTACAATGACTCCACTGTCTAGCAAATGCCCTAGACTAAAGGAGACTGCATCAAAAAAAAAAAATCTTTTGTCACCTAGGAGAGATAAGGCTTTGATCACATAAGATCGCATTACAGGGGGGACCTAAGTCTGCTCTCCCGAGGAGCTTTTATTCCAGAGATGGACATCTTACTGCAGGCATTGCGAAATGCCCGGGCTTCCAGAACCGGGCGAGTATAGACACACAATATGGCTCGGTTTATTGTATGCAATAGGCACACATCCAACATAGCATCACAAAAGAAATACTCTTTTCTGATGTCTCTCCAGAGGTGTGTGTGCGTGTGTGGGGGGGGGGATTCCCACGGGGCAGAGCCATGAGAAGAGTTTACGCGCAGCCCCCGGGGTTCTCTTTGTCCTCCTTATTCCTGCAGGAAAAACTTCCTTCTTACTCGTGTATCCACACACACATACACAGGTTTCCCCCACACGCTCAGAGGCGAGCAAGTTAGCTCTCTCTCCCCACAGCCAGCTCCCGAGAGCTGCCTGCACACCTTCCCAGGGTAAGCAGAAGACTTTACCATCACCAAAACCCAAACAGCATCTGCCATTCGGCCACCTGCCGATAAACACAAGAGCACTGTCACGGCACCGGCACAGAAGTACTCAGATCCCCCCTCTCTAAGCCAGGAACCGCAAAGCATCCCGTCGCATCGCCTTGCCCAGCCTGCACGGCCGCGCGGGGGGCATCACCGGAGCACTACATGGGAGAAGAGTTAGTGCAACGGTGCTTTCTGGGGGGAAGAGGGAGACAGAACAGAGAGAAAAAAAAAAAAAAGAAAAGAAAAGAAAAGAAAACCATCTATTTAAAGCCAAGGCGCTCCAAGGGCGAGAATAGCTGCCCCTCGGAATTGTTAGCTTCCTACAACTGCGGCTGGAAAGCCATTTTTAAAAATAGACGCCTCGAATAATGTGGTCACGGCGGCGTTGGACAGGGAGCAGCTGGCGGCCCTCCTCCCGGGGGCGGCGGGGCCGCGGGGTGCCGGGCCCGGAGCCCCGGCT